AAAACTAGCCTCAAACATGCCCCTGTCCTCCTGTCTCAGTCCCTTGAGCATTAGGATTCCAGGAGCAAGCCACCATGTCTCATGAAGAGTTGCTTTTCAGGCACTGTGGGCCAGCCCTTGCCGCTAGAATTGGGCAAGTTGATCGACCTTTGCAGATGATTGGTTTATCTTCCTGGCTTTGTCTTCTTGGAGCCTATGTTCCAGAACTTGTAAAGCTGTTCAGTTGCCTGGCCTCACTGTAAACTCTATCATTTCCACCAGGATTTAGCACTCAGGCCTTTGAATCAGGAGATACGAAGACCTCCAAAAGAAGACCAGTTCCTCGGATGAGCCCCCTCACAGAGAGATGAAGGGGTGAGTGAAGAAGTGGTCCCTGGGATGAGAGAGGGATGGCCTTGGAGAATGCAAAATGCGTAAGAGTTAAACACAGGCAGAACTGGATTTGGGTCCCCCAGCTCCATCACTTATAGCCATGTGATTTGGTTTCCTTATCTATAAAATAGCCCTATTGATTTCATGTGTCATTATTAGTATCAAGATAGTATGCAGCCGGGCATTGGTGGTGCATGCCTTTAATCCCAGCACTCGGGAGGCAGAGGCAGATGGATCTCTGTGAGTTCGAGGCCGGGCTGGACCGACAGCCTCCAAAACAATACAGAGAAACCCTGTCTCAAAAAAAAAAAAAAAAGATAGTATGCCAGGTGGTGGTGATGCATGCCTTTAATCTCAGCACTTAGGAGAGAAAAGCAGGCTGATGATCTCTTGAGTTTGAGGCCAGCCTGATCTGCAGAATAAGTTCCAGGATAGCCAAGATGACAGGAAGGAAAAAAGTGCTTATAACCTAATGTCTGTGTACATGGTAAACACTTAGTTTACTAGTCTTTGTTTTATTTATTTATTTATGAGGCAGAATATATCTGTATATAGCCCTGGCTATGTAGACCAGGAACTAACTGTATAGGCCAGGTTGGCCTCAAATATCACAGAGATCCACTTGCCTCTGCCTCTGTAGTGCCAAGATTAAAGGCATACACCACCATGACTGACAGTAATTATCTGTTGTTTACTGGCAGTAAAGCACTGTCATTATCCAACAGAACCTATGTGTGTCCTGAATGCCAGTGAGTTTGGGAACCATGTTACTAAGCCAGTGAGCTTCTCACATCTTCCCTTTGTGTTCTGTTTTTACCACAAATAGGCAGCAGAAAACAGCTGAAACCGAAGAGGGGACAGTGCAGATTCAGGAAGGTGAATGCTAAAATCAAGACCAAGAGCCCGTCAGCCTCCCTCCTTCCTCAGCCGACTGGCCCATCTTCTGTATACCATGTGTCTTTTAAATGGCATGCAAGTAGAACAGGGAGAAAGGCAGTTAAGTCAGAGCTTTCTGTGCCTCTTCTAATTTAGGTGCAGTAGCTACTGGAGAGGACCCAACTAGTGTAGCTATCGCCAGCATCCAGTCAGCTGCTACTTTCCCTGATCCCAACGTCAAGTACGTCTTCCGAACTGAGAATGGGGGCCAGGTAAGGGAGGGGCCAGGTGGCGGCAGATGTCACCTGGGGCTGGGATCAAGGGAGGTGCCTGAACATATTCCGGGGAGCTGTGGCTTGAATAATGAGATGAAACTGTGTACTGTTGGGATGAAATGCTAATAAGAGGCACTAAAAGTAGCAGTAATTGGTGTGGGGCTGGGTGTGTTAAAGACTCAAAATGGGGAAAAAGGGAGAGATAACTGATTCTGTTTTTGGGAGACTCCAAGAGGCACTTTCTGAGAGGGCCTAGAATTCTGGGCACTAACTCTTGTCTTCTCTTTCCACCCCTCCCCCCTCTTCATTGCTTCTAGGTGATGTACAGGGTGATCCAGGTGTCTGAGGGGCAGCTGGATGGCCAGACAGAGGGCACTGGTGCCATCAGTGGCTACCCTGCCACTCAGTCTATGACCCAGGTACAGGGGGTAGGCTGTGAGAGGACTAGAGAGCTTTTAGCAATAAGAAAAACTAGGGAGCCAATGGGAAGGAGGGGTGGGATTAGGAATAGTGGGGTGCATCTTGGGTGGCTTTAACTCAAAGCACGAAGTTCAGATGTATTCAACCTCTTGTCATTGAGGCATGATACTGTCATCTACAGAGATGCCCATGAACCATGCGTGGTTGGGGCTGGAGAGATTAATGAGCACTTTTTGCTCTTACAGAGGACCTGAGTTCAGGTCCTAATATCTAGATGGTGAATCACAGCCATCTGGTTTCAGGTTATCAAATAACCTCCTCACGCCTCCTTAGGCAGTAGGCACACACATAGGCACATGCATACATGCAGGCAAAATACTCATGTATAAAAATAAATCTAAAAACTCCCCACAATTGAACTTAAAAGCCCAACTAATATTTTGAGTGAGTTTAGTTTTGTGCTGGGTCACACTCATAGCTGTCATTGGCCACACGGTTCTCAGTGTTTCCCCTCCCTTCTGGTAAGGGATGGAAACTTCAGGGGGGGGCGGCGTAGGAATATGTCCCTGGCTGACTGGAGTCTGTTCTCAATTCCCTTCTCAGGCAGTGATCCAGGGTGCTTTCACCAGTGATGATGCAGTTGACTCGGAGGGAACAGCTGCTGAAACGCATTACACTTACTTTCCCAGCACCGCGGTGGGAGATGGGGCAGGGGGAACCACATCTGGAAGTACAACTGCTGTTGTTACCACCCAGGGCTCGGAGGCACTGCTGGGGCAGGCAACCCCTCCCAGCACTGGTAAGATACTGTAGAAGGGCGGGAGCTAGGAGAGCTAGACTGGGGGACGTGGCGGGGGTGGGGTGGGGTGGGGTGGGGGCTCTGGAACTTAGTGCTTGACTTTTAGTTGTTATTAAGATCAGGGTATGCTGGGCGGTGGTGGTGTCAGTGAATCCAAGCACGCAGGAGACAGAGGCAGACTGTTCTCGAGTTTGGGGCCAGCCTGATCTACAGAGGGAATTGCAGTTCAGCCAAGGCTTTACAGAAAAACAATGTCCAACACCTTAACCCCCCCCCCCCCCCCAAAAAAAGAATCAGGGCATATAGTGGGTCTGAGCTGCTGTACCAGCAGATGGGAGCATGTTCTCAAATGGGTCCTAAGGTTTTGGTGAGGTTCCTAGTCCCAAGTCCTGACAAAAACCTAACTCATCTTCGCAGGCCAGTTCTTTGTGATGATGTCACCACAAGAAGTATTGCAGGGAGGAAGCCAGCGTTCAATTGCCCCCAGGACCCACCCTTATTCCCCGTGAGTGGCTTTATCTCCTAGTTATTTTGAGTGATTTTAATGCCTGCTAAGTCTTGTGTAATTCTTCACCCTAAACAGTCTTTTTTGCTTTTTGTCTTTTCCTTGGTCTGGTCACCCTGTACTCTCCTGTCAGGAAGTCAGAGGCTCCCAGGACAACTCGAGATGAGAAACGAAGGGCTCAACACAATGAAGGTAGGGACATCCAGGCGTGAAGCCAGGAGGAACGGGGTAGATTTGGGAGCTGTGGTGATGTGTGAGGGCAGGAAGCGCTGCTCATCATTCTCGGAGTCACTTTGTCCTCCATTTGTCCCACAGTGGAGCGCCGTCGCCGAGACAAGATCAACAACTGGATTGTGCAGCTCTCCAAAATCATCCCAGACTGCTCTATGGAGAGCACCAAGTCAGGCCAGGTCATGGGAGACCCCGGTGTAGGGAGGGGCTAGAGTTGTGTCTCCTGGCACTGTTTTCAGAAACGGTGGCGAGCAGTGTTCATGACGTTCTTTTTCGCAGTACTCTCTGAGATACCGTGTCCCGATTCTGAGGGGAAACAGGCTGAAACTGAAAGTGCTCTTGGAAGGTATCGGGGTTTAAGCCTTTGTCCTCATGTTGTTGACTTTGCCTTGCAGAGTAAAGGTGGAATCCTATCCAAAGCCTGCGATTATATCCAGGAGCTGCGGCAGAGCAACCACCGGTTGTCTGAAGAATTGCAGGGCTTAGATCAGCTGCAGCTAGACAATGATGTGCTTCGACAGCAGGTCAGACAAATGCCAGGCAGGCCCCCTTGGCAGCCCTGTAGACACTGACCCAGTTTGAATTCCCTAGAAAACACTCCACATTGTCCTCAGCACTGGGTGTGTGACTTAAGTTCGTGGCTTAGCAATATCAATTTTTTTTCCCTGTCATTTTCCTTACTGCCTCCTCCTCTCTGTGCAGGTGGAAGATCTTAAAAACAAGAACCTGCTGCTGCGAGCTCAGTTACGGCACCATGGACTAGAAGTCGTCATCAAGAATGACAGCAACTAACTGTGGGGATCCAGGGGCCTCCGGCCCTAGAACTGCAGATATCCCAGGAGCAACAGACTAATAACCCCACGCCCCTTTCCCTCACTGCCTGCTTCTGGCATGGGACTGGGGGTTTGGCACGCGTGTCCTTGAACTGAGCCCTGTAGTTGGCAGTCTGCAGTGAGTGCTGGGAGACAGAAGCGGACGGTACTGACGTTCTGCCTGCTCCCACTGTGTGGCCCTGGGCCCGTGTGCTCCTTTCGCACATTCATGTGCTGTATCCATGGACACTGGACACTTGCCCTGTGCTTGCACAGAGTGCCCAGCAGAGGTCTGTGGACACTCTGTGGGTCTAGCACTCCACCGGTTCCTCCCTTCCCTGGAGCAGAGGTTAAGATACACACCGGGTTACTCTGGGAGCAGGCTTATTCAAGAGGTGGGGAAGGGTGCTGGGTGGCTGCTATCCCATAAGCAGTAGAGAGGCCAGTGAGCAGCTGGGGCCTCTGCAGAAGTCTCTGACGCCAGGGCGAAAGATAGGCAGGGGCTCACTGAGAGCTTTCCCTTCTGGGGATGGTTCTTTTTATTTCTTTTCTTTCTTTCCTTTTTGTTTTTTAAGATAAAAATTGTTTAGAGCCACAGTTGTCTGCTTTCCTTCTTTTGTGGGGCTCTGGGGGAAGGGAAGATGCATATTACCCTTTGACCAGTAAGGGCTGGGTCAACCTTTGGGTGGGGTGCTACTATTCCTATACTCATTACCCAGAGTCCTGGTACCTGTGCCAAACCTGGATGTCATTTCTGGCCTTCACTGGGCAATTTTAAAGGTTTCAACTCTGGGCTGGTGTTAAAGTATCACCAACAGGTGTTACGGGGCTCTGGGTGTGTGCCAGCCAGGGCCACACCTTTGCTTCCGTTTCCGGCTTCCCTGGTTGGGCTCCGGGAGGAAAGGGAGATGCTTCGGGTTGCACTCCTGCGTCTCAGTCACACAATTGCTGCTGCTGGCACCATGACTGGAGGTACCTGAGAAGGATGTGGGGGTGAGCCTGTGTGTGCTGCTCCCCTGGGTGGAGTTTGTGGAGGTACCTGAGAAGGATGTGGGGGTGAGCCTGTGTGTGCTGCTCCGCTGGGTGGAGTTTGTGGAGGTACCTGAGAAGCATGTGGGGGTGAGCCTGTGTGTGCTGCTCTCCTGGGTGGAGTTGTTTGTGGAGAGAGAAGCACAGGGGTGTGGATGTGGTCCTGGTAAACAGCTCTCCTGGGGAGGGAACAGGCCACAGGTGTTTTGTGGCCCCAGCTCTCAATTCTTTCATGCCCTGTTTCTCAGTGCCTACAGTCTCGTTCCCTGAACTACGCTCACTCCTAGCCTCAGGCAGGGCCCGGCTCTTCGATGTTCGATCTCGGGAGGAGGCAGAAGCTGGTACCATCCCTGGGGCACTCAACATCCCTGGTATAGGATTTCTTGTGTTGGCAAAGGGGCAGTCCATGATGGTCTCAGCTAAAGGGTAGAGACAATAGGGGTGGCCTTCTATTTGCTCAGCCAGTCCTCAGGTTCCCTAGAGAAAAGCTGAATGGAGACTCCTGGCAGTGGAACTAGCTTATCCAGTCTGAGGGGATAACAGGCAGCCAGAGGGGCAGATCAGCGGCTGTATACTTGACTTGCCTGAAGCTGGATTCCCTAAGCCACCTAGTCCTCTACTGCCTCCTTAGGACTCAAAGTGGCTGGCTGCATTGTTGGTCTAACTCCCTGCACTGGTAGGCGACTGCTTGTCTTGGAGGTCGGTGTGGGGTATAGGGTGACCACCATGTGTTTGGACAATTTGGGCAGAGTGGCCAGGACTCCGCTCTTTTAGGCCCATATTGTGAACCCCAATGTGCCACTGGCTCTCCATTTTGTCCTCTCAGTGTCTGAGTTGGAAGCCGCCTTGACCATGGACCCAGCTGCTTTCCATGCTTTGTACAGTGCTGAGAAGCCAAAGCTTGAAGACAAGAATCTTATTTTCTTCTGTCAGATGGGCAAGCGGGGATTCCAGGCCACACAGCTGGCACAAAGTCTTGGGTACACAGGGTATGAAAGGTGTAAGGCCTGCTAACTGGGAACTGACTGGGGACTGCCTACTGGACCTGTTCTTCAATATTCTTTTTCTCCACAGGGCTCGAAACTATGCTGGGGCCTATAAGGAATGGCTGGAGAAAGAGAGCTAGGTAGAAGGCTTAGTGGTTGTGATCCTTCTCATGCCCACCTGGCTGGGTTGGACAAGTCCTTGTTGTGCTGTGCACATAAAAAAAAAACCTCAAATAAAGAGCATTTAATCAAGCATTAGAAGCATTTAATTTGCCAGGTGAACAACAACAAAAAATGGTTCCAGTATGAATCTAGTTCTCAGTGTTTTCTCAGGATCCTTGTCCATCTGTTCCCCACCACCCAATTGAAGGTGACCTAGGACAGCAGTTTCCAGCCCAGAATGCATATCAGATAATCACCTGATAGCTTTAAAAAAAATCTTGGAGCTAGGTGTGTTCAGTCCCAGCAAGTAGGGAGGCTGAACCTAGGAGTTCAGTTCCTGACCAGTCTGGGTAACATGAAGAGCCTGCTCTGGCCCAGGTGGTGGCGCATGCCTTTGATCCCAGCGCTCAGAAGGCAAAGGCAAGCAGATCTCTGTGAGTTCAAGGCCAGCCTGGTCTATATAATAAGTTCCAGGACAACCTCCAAAGCAATACATAGAAACCCTGTCTCGAAAAACAACAAAACATAAGAGCGCTTGTTCTTGCAGAGGACCTGCATTTGGTTCCCAGCACCCAAATGGACAGTAGCTCACAACCTGTGAAACTCTAGTTCCCGATGCCTTCTGACTCCCTTGAGACCCAGGATTGTACAAGGTGCACATATATACAAGCAAGATATTCACACACCGAAATCTTCTTTTTTTTTTTTTTTTTTTTGGCTTTTATGAGACAGGGTTTCTCTGTATTGTTTTGGAGCCTGTCCTAGAACTCACTCGGTAGACCAAGCCAGGCTTGGTCTCGAACTCACAGAGATCCGCCTGCCTCTGTCTCTGTCTCCTGAGTGCTGGGATTAAAGGCGTGCGCCACCACTGCCTGGCCAAAAATCTTTATTTTAAAAAAGCAACTTTCGAGCCGGGCGGTGGTCTATTGGCTGGCCACTGAGCTTCAGGAATTCACCTGTCTTTGTCCCCCAAAGGCTAGAGTTACAGGCACATGCCCTCAACCCTGGCTTTTTACCTGGGGATTCAAATGCAGGTCCTCAGGATTGCAACAAGACCTTTCCCGGTTCTAATGCAAAAATATTTTAGCCAGGTGTGGTGGTACACACCTGTAAGTCCTGCTCTTGGGTAGAGGTAGTGGCAGCAGGATTTCTTTAGGTTCTAGCCTGGGCTGGGCTACACCGAATTCTGGGCTAACCTGGCTACATGATTTCCATGCAGCCATGACACCGTAGCAAGACCCTGTCCCAAAGGAAAAAAAAAGCTGTTGGTTGTGGTGGCACACACCTTTAATTCCAGGACTGGGAGGCAGAGGAAGTTCGATCTATGAGTTTGAGGCCGGCTTGGTCTGCATGGTGAGTTCTAGGTCAGCCAGGGCTACGTAGTGAGACCCTATCTGAAAAACCAATCAGAAGATGAACAAAAACTCACACATGGGCTGGTGAGGTGGGTCAACAATTAAAGGCTCTTGCCACTAGGCTTTATGACCCAGGATCCATAAGGTGGAAGGAAAGACAGACCAACTCTGCACGTAATTCTCTGACCTTACACATGTGACCTGTGCCCATACACAAACACACAAAATAAATATAATGCATTTTTATAAAACGCATAAAATAGTCCTTGGGGTTGGAGAAATTAATTGTTCAGCAATTAAGAGCACTGAGCTCCTAAGCAATTAAAAGCTCTTCTTCCAGAATACCTGGAACTCTCTTTGAAGACCCAGCTGGCCTGGAACTCACAGAGATCCACCTGCCTCTGCCAGAGTGCTGGGATGAAAGGCATGCGCCGCCGCCACCCAGTGCAAGGAGTCTTATTATTTAACGAGTTAACTGCTTTAACTCAGGCCACTCATCTGTTCATCACTGCTGGTGGAGTGAAAAGGGCCTGGAGAAACTTCAAGGCAGGAATTCATTGGGATGAGCAAGGGGAGTGTCTAGGGATACGCAACAGCCTCAGGATTGGTGCGCTTTCCGGCTTGGCCGACCTGTCCTGTGTCTATCAGTCAACTGGTTGCTATGGCGAATAGGCCTTCCCAGGGCGGTCGCTATGCTCTGCATGTCACTGTTTTACACCACTTTTACCATAAAGCACATCCAGAGCCCGCCAGCTAACTTCCCTGCCATGTGGCAGGTATCTGACCTCCTAGTAAGTAGGGCAGCTCCTGCAAGGTCAGAAGGCCAGAAACTAAGCATATGTGTTCTGCAGTCTGTCATGGCTGCCAAAGCAGGGGGCTCAGGGGGCTAGGTGTGGGTCTGATCCCTTCAGTGAGACATAATTTTTTTTTTCCGAGACAGGGTTTCTCTGTGTAGCCCTGACTGGAGCTGGATCTGTAGCCCAGGTGGAATTTGGAGAGATTCCCCTGCATGTGCCATCACCACCTGCCCCCAAAGGTTGTTTTTTGTTGTTGTTGTTGTTGTTGTTGTTTTGTTTTTGGTTTTTTTTTTTTTCAGGACAGGGTTTCTCTGTGGCTTTGGAGGCTGTCCTGGAACTCACTTTGTAGACCAGGCTGGCCTCGAACTCACAGAGATCCGCCTGCCTCTGCCTCCTGAGTGCTGGGATTAAAGGCGTGTGCCACCAACGCCCGGCCCAAAGGTTGTTTTAGAAAGCATTGTTGGCTGGTAGACTGCTTCAGAGGATAAAGTCACTTGCTGCCGAGACAACCTGAGTTCAAGTCCCAAGACACACAGGGTAAAAGAAGAGAAGCAACTCTTGCAAGTGTCCTCTGACCTCCACCCACTGGAACTTACTCTGTAGACCAGGGTGGCCTCGAACTCACAGAGATCCACCTGCCTCCACGCCCCCTCCCTCCAGTGCTGGGATTAAAGGCATGTGCCACCACAGCCCGGCTGTCCAACTTTTTTTTTTTTTTTTATCAGTCAGAGTTGATCATTTACCGCAGGCCTTTGCTGCCTAGTGACTAGGACATGTCTCATCCTGACTCTTGGAACAGTCTGTGGTTCAGAGTTGGCTTCACCCTGCCTTATCAAACTGTCCTGCCGGGGCTTACTCCCACCAGCCTGGTGTCCTCAGTGACCCAAACACTGTAGTTCTTTTTGACCCTGGCCTTCACTCATTTCTTCTGCTTGGGAAGCTTCCAGACCTTCAAACCCTCTGGATTTCATAAGAATTAGGAGAATGTACTTGGCAGGAGTTTTGCGGTTCTCCTCAAGAGGGTTTTTGAACTCAGGAAGGATGAAAAATAGCAGATGAATATGTATAACTGGATTCCCTGAAGTACACAAAGCATAGACCTGCGGTCACAGCTGAAGCATAATCACTTGCTTTTTTTCTATTTAGGCTTAGCTTTTAAAAAAAAGTCTAATTTATTTATTTTAATTTTGTCTGCATTTGCTGTTCTGCCCGCAGGATGCGTGTGAGGGTGCGGGTGTCAATCTTGGAGTCACAGAAAGGTGTGGGCTGCCATGTGGGAGCTGGAAATTGAAACTTGGACCTCTGGAAGAGCAGTCAGTGCTCTTAATCGCTGAGTTATCTTGCCAGCCCACCCCAGACTTAGCTCTTTACAGAGAGGGCTCTTTATTTCATTGTTATAAGCTAACCATGAAACCAGAACATAGCATACATTCAGTAAGGGAGCTTAGGAATTTCTAGGGGGAAAGTTGGAAATATTAATGAGTGGCAGCAGTTTCTTGTGGAAGGGAATGTTGGGTTCTAGGTCTGGCTAACCATAACGGAGTAGTTATCACAAGTCACTTTCAACTATTTCATCTCTTTCATTATTTGTAAAATGGGAATTACAAGATTTATGGCCATACTGGGTATGAAGGCTCATGTGTATAATCCCAGCACTTGGGAGGCTGAGGCAGAAAGATTGCCATGAGTTCAAGGCCAGCCTCAACTATAGCAAATTTTCCTCTGTCGCTTGTCCTGAGAGTTTAATCCCTATGAAGTATCTCACATAGAACATATGGATTTAGCCAGGTGGTGGCGGCAAATGCCTTTAATCCCAGCACTCAGGAGACAGAAATAGGTGGATCTCTAAGAGTTCGAGGCCAGCCTGGTCTACAGAGCAAGTTCCAGGACAGGCTCCAAAGCTACAGAGAAACCTGTCTTGACCGCCCCTTCCCCCCCCAAAAAAAAGTGGCCAGGCAGTGGTGGCGCACGCCTTTAATCCTAGCACCAGTGAGGCAGAGGCAGGAGGATCTCTGAGTTCAAGGTCGGCTTTATCTACAGGACAGCCAGGGCTACACAGAGAAAAACAAAAGGCATCACACACATGCAGATGATAAAGTTTTACAAATGGATGTACTCATTTGACTCGTACTGTTTGGGACAGACAATATACACTGTATGATTTCATAAAACAAGGTGAGCCTTGCCTTGTGGTGAATTTTTGTTCATCATCCACGACTACTTAAAAGGGATATGTTGTCAGGTACAGTGACACACACCTGTGATTCTAGCAGTGGGGAGCCTGAGGCAGGAGAATAATGAATTCAAGGCTAGCCTGGGGTACCTACAGAATTCCTGTTTCAAGAAGGGTGCCATCGATGATTAATCTTGATGTTAACTCGACTTAAAAAGTCATATGGGAGCCGGGCAGTGGTGGCGCACGCCTTTAATCCCAGCACTCGGGAGGCAGAGGCAGGTGGATATCTGTGAGTTCGAGGCCAGGCTGGACCAACAGCCTCCAAAACAATACAGAGAAACTCTGTCTCGGGGAAAAAAAAAGTCATATGGGAGACATACCTCTAGGTACATCTGTGAGACTTAATTGGGAAGCTTAATTGAGGTCCCTAAACGTGGACCCCTTGGCTGGGGTCCAGGAGCGAACGACGAGGAAAAGGCAAGCTGAGTACCGGCATTCATCTTTCTCTGCCTTGCACACCTGCTGTCACAGCTGAAGTTGTTCTCTGTACCATGCTTTCCCCAGCACAATAGTCTGACTCAAACTGCAAGTCAAAATAAACCTTTCCTTCCGGGCTCAGAGGTTAAGAACACTAGCTGCTCTTCCAGAGATCCTGAGTTCAACTCCCAGCAACCACATGGTGGCTCACAACCACCTTTTTTTTTTTTTGGTTTTTCTCTGTGGCTTTGGAGGCTGTCCTGGAACTCACGTGGTAGTCCAGGCTGGTCTCGAACTCACAGAGATCCGCCTGCCTCTGCCTCCCGAGTGCTGGGATTAAAGGCGTGCGCCACCAAAGCCCAGCTCACAACCACCTTGAATGAGGTCTGGTGCCCTCTGCTGGCCTACAGAGCACATGCAGACAGAAGAGTGTATACATAAAATAAATAAATAAACCTTTCCTTCCTTAGATTTCTCTAGTCTGGTATTCTGTCACAGCAACAGGAAAAGTCCTGCACTACGTACTACAGTGCAAGTGGATAAACAAGCAAGTTCCATACTTCATGTAATATATGATATATGCTTCTATGGATCAAAGGTTGAAAATACGGAAACTACCAAGAACCATTTATTACCTTAAAGAGGTAAAGACAGCCCTATGACTATGACTCAACACTAGAAGCCATAGAAAAAGCTGATGATGCCAGGCGTGGTGATGCATACCTTTAATGCCAGCACTCAGTAGGCTGAGGCAGGGGAATGAGTTTGAGTCCGACTTAGTCTTTGTAGTGAAATTTTCTCAAAACCTAAATGTGGTGCGGTGGTCAGAGGCCCAGGGAGGCAGACCCTTGAGTTTGAGACCAGCCTGGTCTACAGAGTGAGTTCCAGGAGAACCAGGGGACACAAAGAAACCCTGTCTCAAAAACCACAACAACCACCAACAACCAACCAACTGCCCAAAAAACAAAACAAAAATCTGATGAAGTAAATCTAAACAGCCAAGCAAAGTCTTCTACATGTTATATGGCTGCACTGGTAAACATGCCATAGACACAAATCAGGAGGAACAGCAGTGGGAAATTTAACTGATAGTATACATAGGAGGGCTAATTCATTTACTATATAAAGAAAAAGACTGCTGGGAGGTGATGGCGCACGCCTTTAGTCCCAGCACTCGGGAGGCAGAAGCAGGTGGATCTCTGTGAGTTCTAGATCAGCCTGGCCTACAGAGCTAGTTCCAGGACAGCCTTCAAAAGCCACAGAGAAACCCTGTCTCGAAAAACCAAAAAAGAAAAAAAAAAAAAAGACAATTATCCTGCTACAGTTTGTATAAGGTTTGGGAGTGCCCTAATGGGCCACGTGTTGGACTTGGTCACCAGGGTAGGTGACTGAAGGTTCTACAGGTCTTTAAGAATTAGGGCCGGGTGTTGTGGTGGATGTCTTTAATCTTAGAACTTGGGATCCAGAGGCAGGTGAATCTCTGAGTTTGAAACCAGACTGGTCTACAGAGCAAGTTCAAGGCCAGCCAGGACTAAATAGGGAAACTGTCTTTATTTAATTTAGTTTTGTTTGTTGAGACAGGGATTCTCTATGTAGCCCTGGATATCCTTGAACTTGCTCTGCAGACCAGTCTGGCCTCAAACTCAGAGATCCACCTGTCTTCACTTCTTTTTTTTTTTTTTTTTTTTTTTTTTTTTTTGGTTTTTCGAGACAGGGTTTCTCTGTGGCTTTGGAGGCTGTCCTGGAACTCGCTTGGTAGTCCAGGCTGGTCTCGAACTCACAGAGATCTGCCTGCCTCTGCCTCCCGAGTGCTGGGATTAAAGGCGTGCGCCACCAACGCCCGGCTTTGTCTTCACTTCTTTATAAGTGCTGAGTTCAAGTTCCCAGAGCACACATTAAAAAGTCAGGATTAGTTGTGTGTGCCTGTAACTTCAGTGCTGTGGTATGTGGAGAAGGAGATCCTAGGGCTGGCGGGCTACTAGTCTGGCGTCAAGTTCAGTGAGAGACTCTATTTCAAGAGAACGGGGTAGAGAGTGACAGGGCAGGACACTGGTATCCTCCTCTGACTCAGCATGTCAGTACACGGACTCCTGCACACAAGCAAGCATATACATGGGGGGAGGGGCTGACAGAAGATCCTCAAAAGAGATTCAGGAGTTTCTTGTATGACTGCTTAATGGTTTTTGGAGGTTGTCACAGGGAAACCCTACCCAGTCTCTGCATCCTGGCTTGAGATATGACTTTGCTTTTGAATACACTCCAGCCATTGCCAACTGCCACAATTTAAGGTAACTCAGAAAGGACCCAAAAGAATTAAGCTGATGTGCTGAAGACATGGCTAGGCAGTTAAAAGGACTAGCCCTGAGTTCAATTCCCACCAACCATGTGGTGGCTCACAACCATCTCTAGTGGGATCTGATGCCCTCTTCTGGCATAAAGGCGTACATGCAGATAGGGCACTCATACATAAAGTAAATTTTTTTGTTTGTTTTTTTGAGTCAAGGTTTCTCTGTAGCTTTGGAGGCTGTACTGGAACTCAAGACCAGGCTGGCCTTGAGCTCACAGAGAACAGCCTGCCTCTGCCTCCCCAATAGAACAGTGGTTTAGTGGTTTTATTTATTTATTTACTTGAGACAGGGTTTCTCTGTGTAGCTCTGGCTGTCCTGGAGCTAGCTCTGTAGACCGGGCCTTGAATACTCCTGTCTCTGCCTCCAGAGTGCTGGGATTAAATGTGTGTGTCACCACTGCCAGACTTTTTCTTTCTTTCTTTCTTTCTTTCTTTCTTTCTTTCTTTCTTCCTTTCTTTCTTTTTTTTTTTTTTTTTTTTTTGAGGCAGGGTTTCTCTGTATTGTTTTGGAGGCTGTCCTGGAACTTGATCGGTAGACCAGGCTTGGTCTTGAACTCACAGAGATCCACCTGCCTCTGCCTCCCTAGTGCTGGGATTAAAGGCGTGCACCACCTGGCCTTTTTTTTTTTTCTTTTTTAAGGAAAGACTACCAGGGATACCAGAGCATAGTGGCTGGAAAATTTCAAAAATTCACATATTTATTAAGTATAGTTCACACTATAATCTTGGTATTTAGGGAGTTCAAAGACATTTTGTGCTACTTAGTGAGTTTTAGAACAACCTGGGCTACAGTGAGACTATCCCAAACAACCAAAAAAAAAAAAAACTGTGTATAAGTCTTTCTCTTTAGGACTTTAGATTCCAGAGTGAATAACAAGTTTGAACCTGGCAGGTACGCAGATATTTGTTTCAATTTAGTAGTACGAAGTTTCTGTCTTGGGGTTGAGGAGATGGTTCAGCAGTTAAGAGTACTGTCTGCTCTTCCAGAGGATCCAGGTTCAATTCCCAGCACCCACATAGCAGCTCACAACTGTGATTAAGATTTCTGACACCTTCACACAGACATAGACAAAATACCAACACGCCTAAAATAAAAATAAAGTTAAAAAAAGTTTCTCTCTTGGTTATATATGGTCCTGTGTACTCTACTGTAGCTTGCCAGCCTTGAAGTCAGAATTTTTGTTTGTTTGTTTTTAGCAGAACTGCTGTTTTTATTTATTTGTACTTCCCTGTCTCACCTAGTAGATGCTTGTAGACATGTTGTTGCTATTGTTGTTATTATTACTGGCTCTGGATGTACTGGAATTTACTATGTAGGTCAGGCGGGCATTTTGTTCAACAGAGCTACCCACCTGCCAGTGTGGTCACAATGCCCAGTGCAGCAGGCACTCTGTACTGCTAAGCAATCTCCAGCCTGGCGTTCAGTTTTGAAATGGGGTCTCTATTAACCCTGGCTATTGTCGGATTTGCTACCTTGTCAAGGATAGCCTTAAACTCTAATTCTCCCACCTCTGTCTTTAAAGTGCTGGACTACAGGCACTATGGGTTTGGTTTATTTCCTTCCCTCTGCCTTCTGCTCCTCCTTCTGCCCTTCCTTCTCGTTCTCCTCTTCTTCTAATTTTGAGACAGGGTCTCATGAAGCCCAGGCTGTCTACAACTCTCTAGGTACCTAAGACTGGCCTTGAACCCCCAATATTCCTGCATTTACCTCTTGGATGCTGGAATCACAGGCATGTGCTAAGGTGTGGGATAGCCCATTCTATAGGAAGATCCACAGTTTGAGGCCAGCCTCAGCTACATAGCCAGCCCTGGTCTAAGAAAACAAAAGCCAAGCCGAATGTAAGGCCCAGCAAAAGAGCTGACAGATCGTATCCGTGTAAAAGGCATGAGCCCAGTCATCGAGGGAACTGTGGGTCAGCTTTAGAATCTGGATGTTTTCTGTGTCTGTGTATTAGGTTTCTTTTGGGGAGACTGTAACCAGGACAGAGTAACCCACTTTGGGTTATTCTCCCAAACCTCTCCCTACACCTTCTCATTTTAAGGTGTTTTTCACTTACCAAGGGTTGGGGGTCGGGGGAGGGATTCTGCAGCATTAAGCAATTTAAAAGTAAAAGGAGAAAAATCGACCAAGCAAATTTCTGCTTTTTAGAGTCCTGTGACCGAGATACCTATCAAGAGCCGGGCCAGTCAGAAAGGCTGTAGCTGCAAACCCCGCTGCCAATCCGGATGCCCTTACCTGTTGAGAAGCCGGCTTTGGCTTCTTTAAGCGACTGTCTCCTGGGCCAACCAGAGGTCTCTAGGAAAGAATGGCACCAATCGGACTCAAGAAGGAGGAAAGTCGGGCTGCACCTGCGTACGGTGAGTCCGTCGGCGGAGCGCCCTCTCTCTTCACCAATGGGAACACGGGACAGCCGGGCGCCGCCCACTGGGCGTGGAGAGAAAGGCGGGCAGGGCTCAACCTGGCGGCTGGAGTCCAGTCCCAGCGCGGTGGATTGCGAAGCTCTTCCCAGCCCAGTGGCTCGCTCGTCGCGTGGTAATTGTAACTGTAATGGGCACCGAGGGGAAAGTCGGGAGGAAACTATTGTTTCTCTTCACGTCCGTGATCCTTGGTGAGTTCCCGGAGTTTTTGGAGGATTAGATGGGTCCGGTCAGAGGTTGGACGAAGGCGCACCCCACGCGCCAACGGGAAGGGAGGAGCCCAGAAACCTGCTCGCTCGCTTGCCTCGCCCTTGGAGTCCACTTTTCCGTCCCGATCTGGTCACTATACTTTCCCCTCCCCCATATGGAGGCTGGCTGGCTCCCTTCCCCCAAGAGGGTGATCTGTGACCCCCACCTTCTACACCGTGGCCGGGAGGGAGCATTAAAATTTAACGCGGAGGGTCCACGGTTCTGGGTCTTCCTTTCAGGTCCGAGGACCCCTTCCACACCCAACTCGTAAGCTACCCGTTCCCCTCCATATGCACCTGGGAGGTCGTCCTCCGATATCTCAGAGGACTCAGAGCCTCTCACCCGGACTCCCTTGGCTCAAGTGTCCCAGGAGGAAATGCAGTGGAGGTGGGGGTAGGGAATGCTTCCTGGCTTTTCCAGAAGGGGTCTCTCGCTCTTGTTACATTGTGGACCTTTTGGGGTTAATGGCGGGGTTCAGCGTCTGAGGAAGAAATGAAACCTCTAAAAAATGTCTCAGATCATAGCTTTCAGAATTCCTTTCTTGAATAAATAGCGAGGAGTCCCCAATTAAGGTTGTTGACTGAGTGACGATTCCCTGGGGGAGCCTGGGCCTATTGGTTGGCTGGATCTCCTCAGAGCCAGAACTCTGCCCTCCCCCTTGTCCGGAAAGAGAGTTTTTTTGTTTCTTTGTAGACTCCCTTTCCTGAGAAACAACCAGGCTCGCATGCTGGGGCATGACTGTCTCGAGGTGTGTTTGTGTGAGGCTGAGAGTGAGGTTGGTTGGTTTGTGCCTTGGTCATTGTGTGTCAGCACCTGTATATTTATCTGTCTGATTTTTCCCGCCACCACCCTGCAGAGCTGAGGACCAAAACCAGGGACTTGGGTGTGCATACACTACTGTTGGTAGTTTTGTCGGACCGTGTTCTCTGACTCCGTTTCCCAGGGATAAAGGAAATGGAACATTACAGTCAGTAGTGGTGTATTCTAAAGGCAGTTCGTTGTGATGGATTTTGGGAAAAGCACCCAAGGTGGCTAGATGACGCCTTTGTCTCGTCACAGAACCATAAACCCTTGGGGTGGACTAGACAATAAGTGATCCCACTTCTCTCCATTGTACAGATAAGGACATGAGTCTTGAGAGGAAATGACTTTTCCAGTTTACAAGGGGGTAGAAGCTGGGGATGGAACCAGAGTCCTCTGTCCTGCCTCCTGGAGATCCAGTGTCTCCGGCTTGAGGCAGGCAGGCGCTGGAACTATTTGCGCTGCTGCTGTCTTATTAAAAACAGATCTTCCACGACTCTTCCTTTCTCTTTTCTTCTGCACTGTACTCGTCCAGTTCTGCTTTCCTCATCTTCCTTTCTTGGCCCAGCCATTACTTATTTGATTTTTGTTCTTGTCTTAGAAATGTTAGCCACGCCCATATTCCTGTGTTGTGTACAGTGTCTTCTGGATCATCGACAGCACTTGTTAGGTTTATAACTTCCTGGAGCTGCTTCCTTCTGACTCCTTCCCTCCTTCCTTTTCTTTTCCCCTAATTTCCTGTATTGGTTCTAAGGCACACTACTTCTGAATGGATTGTGACAATGGTATTTTGAGCTAGCTACCACCATTCACGGGAGTCTGGGGTGCTGTTGCATATGCCTGGGGGGCAGTAGCTCCTAGGGATTAATGTTGGGGTGGGGGGTGGAGGAATGGACTGAGCAACTTTGAAATCAAAGTAGACCTGGGGGAGGGGAGTGGCTTGGTCAGTGCAAATGAAATGGTAGCCTGGCCACCCTGCCAGTCTTCCTGGCTTTGCCTTTTTTCTCTGTCTTGTGACCTTAAGCTAGTGGCTCAGTCTCTTTGGCTATAAACAGGAGTAATAACACTGGTCCTGCCTTTGCCGTGAGGATCAATGGAGGTAATAGCTACATCACATGGACATGAAGGGATTACAACTACACAGCTATTACCCCTTTGGGTACAAGAAGGCTGTTCTTATAAGAGTAGGTCAAAGGAAGCAGGAAAATCCCAATGGCGAGGCTTTATTTTGCTATTATTAACTTTTAAGGAAGGGGCTCTCTGAGGGCCATCTGGTCGGAATCATAAACATTGTCACTGTGGTCCTGTTCTTGAGTCACTCGCCATCATGGGCTCATCTGCCAGGGAGGGAGAAGGAAGGGCAAGGTAGTTAAGTATGAGCTAGGTGAGCGGAAGATAGCTCCAGCCTAAGGGACACACAGGCGTGCTGAGCTGAGCTTGGGGAATGTGAGGTTAGGGAGCCCGAATGCTGCATGCCCTTCTCTTGAGAACCTGGACTTGGGAAAGTTCAGCTACTAGCAGTTTTTATTGTATCCAGAAGGAAGGAAAGTAAGCCAGGGTTGGAATGCTGACTTTTTTTCTGCCTCTTCTTACTTGGGGGTGGACGACACCATGGCTTTTGGTGAGAGCCCCGATGTTCCTGCTGGTGTTTCTGAGGAAGTCCCTTTTGAATATTTCCCAAGTGCTGTTCAGGGGGCAGACTTCGCTCAAAACTGTGGATCGGTGAGACATGCCCACTGCTTCCTCCCGGGAAACTAATTATTCTCTTGAAACTAGTTGCTAGGAGGAAATGAGTGATGGCCAGCCTCCAGCAGGCTAGGTTTAGCTCTGGAATGCTTTCACCTGTGATAGGCCGCTTCTTCAGACCCGGGCTTGGCCAGTGCCTCCAGCCTAGTTCTGCTTTAGGCAGAGATGCTGTGATTCCAAAAATTGTTTATTCAAAGTGCATTGGTTGACAGGATTTGAGATTCAAAATACCTGGGAGGGGTGGAGTGGCTCACCCCACTCTGCTCTTGCGGAAGCTGTCCCTGGCGGTTTCTTATGTCTGTCTTTCTAGTGTTTTGTTAAGTACACATGTGTACTAATGTATATTTGCTTTCTCACCGTTTTCTTACACTAAAGAGGCTTAGAGTATGCATTAGATTATATCTTAGTTATTTGCTTAATATAGTCTGGGAAGTAATCGCGCTCTCTCTCTGTCTCTCTGTCTCTGTCTCTCTGTCTCTGTCTCTCTCTCGCTCTCATTTTGTTGTTGTTTTGAGACTGGGTCTCACTGTGTAGCCTTAACTGGCCTGAAATTTGCTAGTAGTTTTGAACTCACAGAGCTCTTGTTTTTTTCCCCATGCTGGTATTATAGGGGCTGTGGCCTTGGCTGTTTGGATTTGCCCAACCTCCACACATGGCTGGGATTTAAGGGGGAGGGTGCTGACATGACCCCTCCCAACAGTCACAGATAGATTGAAATACTACACACATTTTATGTGGCAAATCAGGAAACAGTGGGGCTTGGTTCTCACATCTGTTGGCGTTGAGACTAGGAAATCTCAAGAGTTCATACCTATTTCCGCTTCACAGGTTTCGCTAGGTGACCAAAGCAAATGGTGAGAAAGAAGTTTCTCGGAATTGGGAGGAGGCTGTGGGAAGCAGTATGGACAGATGCATGTTGGGATTTTCCAGACATTGAAACCCTGGAGTTTGTCTGCCTGGGACTCCCTGATAAGCAGAGTTTCTGTCCAAAGTCCAGCTTGTGTCATTTGTTTTACAGTGTGGGGGTGGGGTTAGAGGAAGCAGCTGGCTGGCAGGAAGCTGATGCCAGGTCTCTGGGGTGAATTCTGTCCTGACAGGAGTGACTGTCCTTTGCAGTGGGGGAGGGGACGGAACAGGTAAAACTGGAAAGTGGAAGAGGGCAGGAGGGAGCCGTGGAGGGAAAGCCCCCTCCTTCCGCTGCCATCACCCATTCCTTCCATCGGCAGAGGTTTGAGCCTGCTCTGTAGCAGGACCCACACAGCCTTCCTATTGCCCAGGCATTCTGTATCCCATCGCCTCAACCTCCAGAAAGCTTTTGTTCATTATGTGCAGAGTGTCTTCTGAAGTTCCTACACCCAGATGGGAAGTGCTGTGTTCTTAGAGAAAAGCAGACCCGGCTGGCTGGCCTCCCTCCTGTTCCTTCCTTCCTTTTTTTTTTTTTTTTTTTTTTTTTTGGTTTTTCGAGACAGGGTTTCTCTGTGGCTTTGGAGGCTGTCTTGGTCCTTCCTTCCTTTTTAAAAATCAAACTAATGGCATAAAGGCATCTTGAGGAATATTCTGACAGCTAACAGGATGTGTATAAAGAGAAAACAAAGGGCTTCCGATTTAAACAGAAGAAGGAAGTAGCTGTTCTGCTGTGGGCTGGACCCTCATGTTCAGAAACATAGGTTGTTGGGGGGGCTCTGTCCAGTGTCTGGGGTCACCATTGTGTGTGTCAACTTCATATGGCAATAGCTTCTCGGAGGCTCAGGGAACATCCACAGCCAGGGACTGGGAAGATTGAAGCCAGCTGGTTGTCCTTGTTTTCAGGAGCTGCAAGCATGTGTCCCAGCTGGAATTTACCAGACAACCATCAACAAAGCACAGAATGTTTTGGGAGCAAAAGGCAGGCAGTGACTTTTGTGCTGGGTGTGGTGGCATGTGTCAGTAATGCCAGGACTGATGCTGAGGCAGGACTTCTCAAATAATTCTTTGACAGTGCCATTGGATACAATACATTCTGATCATACCTCACACACACCTGTGTCCCCTCTTAATGATCTCCTTTCCTTTCAACAAGTTTCCTTCCCACTTACACATCTTTCCTTTCATTTTATTACTGTTATTATTATTATTTATTTTGGTTTGGTTTTTCGAGATGGTGTTTCTATGTGTAACATTCCTGGCCGTCCTGGAACTCACTTTGTGAATCAGACTGGCCTCGAACTCACAGAGATGTCTGCCTCTGCCTCCTGAGTGCTGGGATTAAAGGTGTGCACACCAACGCCCGGCTAGGACTAAGTTTTTTGAATCTTATTTGTGGTGTGTGTGTGTGTGTGGTGTGTGTGTGTGTGTGGTGTGTGTGTGAAGTCAGGGAAGAATCTGTATGAATTGGCTCTCCTACCGTGGGATTGAA